CCCCCCGGTCACTCAGTCTCCTCTACGCGGGCTCTAAAAACTCACCTGGTCGCCTTTGCTACAACAAACACAACCAACGCTGCTGATCTGAGCTCCAAGTTCAAACTAAAACAGAGGATGACAGACAGCCCGTTGGACCAGAGCCTGCGGACCTGTCGTTAGAGTCATTTCAATTCTGAATCATTTCTGCCACTTTTTTTGTTAACTCAAATGAGTTTTCTACTGTTTCTGTCACTTGTGTGTCACTCTGTTTATTTTCTCATGATCTATTTATACAGGTTCAAGTGGAATGATCATATCGCTGCTTGCGGAGTAAACGATGCACACAATTATCACTGGAAGTTATTATTTAGAATCAGATAAGTCCTTAGCATGAGAATTAATATAAAGGCCGAAAAACCCATACTTCCGGTTCCCGAAATTGGGTTTGATTATTTCAGCAGAGTTACCAGGAAATCCAAACCATATGAGGCATAAAACTCAACTGTTAATTCCAAAAATGCTTTGCAAATTCCCCAATACCTCTCGCACTTCATATTATCAGTACTCAACGCCCCTCTCTTGGAAAGAGCTCTTGGCCCACATTTTATATTGATGTTTTAGTTTAGCGAAGGAAATTTGGTTACACTATAACATTAACTAAACCCTGATGTGAGCGAGCTGAAGGATTAGGGTCAAGCGTTTGGTTTCAAGAGGAACTGGGGAGGAATTCTCCAGGTAGACCACGCATTAGAATTTAAACAATATGGTGAGGAAAAGAGGGGCTGAGGTGCAAAGAGGTTAAAGCGAGCATGAACACGCAGGGCAATTCAAATCTGTACGTTCCTATAGCCTTGGCTTTTGACAGCACAAGTTCAAGGCAGGATTACGGCGATCCCTGAGGCAGAGTTTCTGGCCTTTTTCAAGACAGTCTCTTGAACTTCTGCTGCAGATCCACTCATGTAACAAATAACTGATCTAAACTTGATTTTATTGCAACTGTCTTGCACAACAGAGGAAGTTACCATTGCAATAAAACCCCTAAACTGGAGAAACACTTTGATTTCAATGCAAGAAATCAGAAATAAACCTGAGAGTTAAAAGTGCTACTCTGGAACAAAAGCTCTGGGGCCAGACTGAACTGTCACTTTACCCCTTTTCTTTTCTTTTTCTTTCTTTTCTTTTTCTTTCTTTTTTTAACATTAGCTCAATCATTACAAAGGAACCCTGAGCACTGGAAGCAGCCATCAACAAATAAACTCAGTTTGGGTCACATTTCACCAGTGCAATCAGCCTCAAGACTGCAATCAAGCCTGTGTAAAATATGGAAGAAATCTGTAGCAAGGTACAAATTAAAACAAGCTAGACTTCCTGCACTTGAAGGTCGCAGTTGTTAATGCAGTTGTTAATGTTTTTTGTGACATTTTTGCCTATTTTTGTTACAAATTAAGTCCTAATTTAACGTATTTAATTATTTCAATGAGATTTTGCAGTCTGAGCAGTTCCCTTGAAATTTACAACTTTTTTTTTTTTTTTTTTGCATTTATAAGGTTCTACTTTATCCCTACAACGAAACAAAAACACGTCACATTAAGCATACATATGTTTCGTTTGCTGCTAATAATGAAAAGTTAATCTGGAGTTTCAATAAGCTATTTTCGTAGTTAACCTCTCTACTACACAAAAACATTTTGTTTCTACTGAGCAAATAAAACCCAGACTTTGTACCTAATTTCATTTACCAAGCCAATTAATTAATGTTATTAATTCAAGAAATCACGAGGTAAAACAGTAAAACCGGAAGCATAATTTAGAGTGTACATGAAGGAAAAGTGGTTATTGGCAGCGCTGTCACATAAACATAATGACAGCGGCCGAGGAGCAATCATATAATTAAAGCGTGTTTCTTCCCTTCGAGCCGTATAGCAACAAAGCGCGCCTCGTCAGCACAACCTTCCTGAAAGTAGCCCTCAACATCTCAGCGGTTAATCAAATATCGACGAGCCTGCAGGATGACGTAATGTTGCTCACATTATGCTTTTCGGGGAAAAATAAAAAGAAATAACAAATGAGAACTTCAATTTAATAATAATAATAATAATAATAATAATAAAAACAGAAGCGTCGTTTGTTTCTCTTTAACTGGCATGACAGCAGCAGAAGCGTTTTCCAGACGATCATTGGTGAACCGCAGCATGCAGAGTCCGGGACGGTCGCCGGCTGCGCTTTATCCCTAAACGGGACAGGCGTGACAATGATGCAGCGATGCAGCTCGGAGAAAGAGACTAAACTTGATAGAAGCGCCAGGGTGAAGTGAAATGAGCCCCGCTGCATAAACCTGTTTAGAAGTTGGAAGCTGGATGAAGTGAAGTGGGAGTGAAGTGAAGTCCATGCAGACTATATGAACCGAGAGCTGCAGCGGCACTTGACTCCGTGTCAACTTCAACAACTGTAAATACAGGCCCACACTTTGGCAATGAAGTGAGATGACAATCCGTTAAATCTAACAAAACCCGCGGGAGACAGCGGCTGTTTTAGCTGCACGCCTGGATCTTTGCAAAACAGGAAGAAAATCAACATCTTCATCCAAACCGCTGGAGCGAACAAGAAAACAAGCTGTTGCATTTCAGAAAAAAAGTCACCCAAAAAAAATCGCTTTAAACAAAGTCAACAAACCTGCAGAGGCTCGTGCAAGAGGGTCTGCATGGTGGCAGGGCTTTCAACTTACCAAACAAGTGTAGAAAATGTGAAGCAGCCTCTGAGAAGAAACCACGTTGGACTGAGAAAGGATTACAATGCGATCTATTTAGAGAAGCATAACGTCACCCCGGGGTGACGTCACGTGGGATTCCTGAACTTCTAAATCATAGCGGGCCCTGCGCGAGGGGGGCGGCGCGGGCGGAGTGGGGTTAGTGGAGGAACGCCCAGAAGCATGGACGGGACACCGGCTGGTCCTGGAGTGGGTGTGGTGCGACACAGCAGGATGACCACTGCTGACCAGTAAGACAGGCTGGTGAGGTGACAGCTCTGAACTGGGCTCAGGACCCAGCAGCTTGATGCAGGAGAAGGCTGCATCATTCGGCTGCAAAAGAATTTAATTTATTAATTTTACTATTTTAAATTCCACTAAATAACTCTTCTATTCCTGCGCATGCGCTTTTAATATATCCACAGAACGGGACGGGGGAAGATATTTGGTTAAATTTAAAATAGGTTT